GCAAAAATAATTACCAATAATTTTTCATAGCAACAATAAGATAATAACAACATTCATCATTCTCATATTTTAATAGTACAGTCACGATTTCTCTTGTGCAGGACTCTGAGTGTGATTGTTGGAGTTCATCCAGGTCCAGGACAGGTCCAGGAAGTGGCAAAGAAAAAGCCCTATAAACAAAGCATCTTTGACACACTGAAGACAGCTGTCTTCAGTGTCATTAAGAAAAACATATGGAAGATAAATATCTTTAATAGAAAGCATGACATCATGCTACTGGAACTTTCTGAGCCACTGACTGGGATTCAGCCTGTAGCCTTACCTGACTGTAACAACCCTCCTAAAAAGTGAGTTTTCATGAAATTACTGTGTATTCATTCTTGAGATGCTGATATAAGATGTTTCAGGTTCTTATGTTAATGTTTTGATTTTTTTCTACCCAATGATTACCTGTGCCAGATGACTGTTTTTTTTTATTTGTTTTTTTAATTAAATGTCACAATTTCATATTGGTAATTCTTTAACTTTGTATTGCAGTAGTCAGAATTCCACATACTGTTTTTAACCCAATCACACAGCTTCAATAACATTTCTGTATTTTTAGCATATTATTATGAAGTACTGGGTCGGCAGCCTTTTCAGAATTTAGTCTCCCTCTTCTGGGCGACTGGCTTCAGAGTGGTGGACAGTGAAGCAAGGTTAATCTGTTAGTGATGCACGCTGAGCCCAATTTCTAAGTTTTCAGTGTTTCAGGTGGCTCTCTTGTTACCTGGTAAGATCACCATGGAAATATGCTCCTGTTGAGATTATGTTCAGAGTTTTTGTGTAAAATGAGCAGGAAGCATCAAATTTTCATTAGTTATTTAATTTATAGTATGCTTTAAACATGACATAGATTGTCTGCTGAACTAATAAGTTTTATATAAGCAAATTGTTAAGACATACATTACTAACACCATCAGTTTAGGAGCAAACAGGTTAGGTTGAATCTGCTCTGCTTCACACTGCTGGAAATGCAGCTAATAGAACACAGATTAGAAAATGTATCAGTAACATTTGTAAACTATTTATCAGCTGTTCAATCTACAAATTTCAATTTGATCTGGAGCCAAAATAAAGTGACTTCCTGGCCTTCTTTATTAAGCTATGGGCATTGAAAACAGTGAGTGACCTGTTTTAAATGTACGCCGTTTAAAGTTTCAGATCTCCAATGTGTGGCTGTCATGTTAGATTTAAAACAGCAGCACCGATAGCACAGTGATGATCAAATCATAATGTTTCTGCAACTTTTCTTTGATTTGCAACACCAGCGTTGTATTTTGCTGTTATATATTTTTATATTATTTATAGCACACACACACACACAACCATCTCTAGGGTATACAGAAAGTGGCATGAAAAAGTAAAATATCCAGTGAGTCGCAGTTTTCTGGATGAAAATGCTTCGTCAGTGCCAGACATCAGAATGGCCAGCCCGCTTTGAGTTGATGGGAAGGCAACATCTCGAACACTTAAAATAAAATCGCAGGAAGGTTAAGAGCCTCTGTAACCACATGTATCTTTGTTTTGTTTTTTATAAACACCATCTAATATGCTTAACACAACTTAACACATTAGACATAAAGACATAACTCAAAGCAACATCGTAGCAAGATCTGCAACATCTCTTCAACTTTTATTTTGAGTGTATTTTTACATTTTGAGTAGATGTTTGCTGGGTTTCTGCTGACGTCAACCCATTTTTGTGATCATACTAATTTGCCCTGTCTGACTAATGCTGACAGTCTATGGCTGAGAGGATTGCGCCTAATTCATGGATTCTGCATTGCTTGAGAACTGTTTGCTCATCAAGATGACCAAATCCCAAGACTGTAAAAAAACCGCTCTCAATTTGTTCATTCTTGTGTTATAAGCAGACCTTGACTAAAAAAATTGTATCTTGTGTAAATCTTTTTTACACACACAAAAAATCTCATCTATAGATGCACAAACATAAAATTTTCAGAGATTTTGGTTTATAAGGTTACAAAACTCAGTTCACAACTACAAATTTCCCACGTGTGGGACTAATAAAGGTTATCTTATCTTATCTTATCTTATCTTATCTTATCTTATCTTATTTGCTTTACAAGTACAAAGTATTTATGACCACAGTTTAAGCCCATACAAATGGAGCCAAGCCATGAGGCAGTAGCAGGTAAATGACAGTGTGTTGTTAATGCAGCAGAAAGTGTCAGAATTTTCCTTGTGAATCAAACATGTTTATAAGCTTCTTAGTAAAGCTGTGTGGAAGCGACTTGGTGACCAGAAAAAAAAACATAGTATAGATCATTTTGAGAATAAAGTTGAAATTTTGAGATTTATTAATTTATTTGATGTTTAAAACACATGGATGGACCTGAAAGTAATTGATTATTATTTATTGGTCTGTTTCTAGAGGAGACGTCGTTCAGGTTGCAGGACTTGGTGGGTATAGGGTAAATGCGACAGGCCACACACGTAAGAAAGTTTTTTGATGAATTATTTCACAGTTTATGCTAGACTTTACTTTGGTTTCTGTGTCTGTTTTACAGTTACATTCACGTTTTATTTGACTACTGTAATATAAACAAAGATTTTATATTTTATAGTAGATATACTGTATGCCAGGTTCCTTGTTTAAAAATCATTTGGAAACATCCAGAAAAAAGACAAAACATCAATCTCCTCAAGATTTTAGTTTTTGAAAGGTTATGAATGACTTTTGCTCTTTGGCTTTTTTCTCTAGTTGATGATGAGCCATTTAATCTCCAGTGTGCAAACATGCATGTTGTTGACTGTGAGCCTACCAGAAACTCTCCATGTTTTTCAGATGTGCCGTATAACAACAGGCTGTGTCTGGAAGAACCTAATGTAGATATATGTGGGGTAAGTTGACTGCTAACATTACTGTATATCATCTGTGTATGTTTTAGATCTTTTGGAAGAAACTTAAACACAAATTA